TGTTCTTGGGAGCAACCTGGTCTTGGGGGCCAGTACTTACCATTACAATATATATCAAAAGATCAAACCTCAACAGCAGTTTATGTTGTTACTGGTTGATTGACAGGAACAAAGTATGCTATTCCAGATGCTGGTGCTTTTAGTATGTCAAAGGCACCATAGTTTTGAAGTTTTATGGGGCAAAAGAATCAACATGGTCCTGAAAAGCCTCAAGAAACATTGAGATGTGGTTTATGAAAGAGCCTCAGGAGATAGAAATTAGGCCCACATGCCAGAGTCATGGTCTCTTCTTTTTAAATTTAACTTTATGTGTATGTGTGTGGATGTTTTGCCTGTATGTATGCCTATGTACCACACATATATATCCCTGTGAAGCACCTGTATGTATGCCTATGAACAACATGTATGTATGCCTGTGCACCACATGTATCTATACCTGGGTTCTACATGTACATATGCCTGTGTACCACATGCTGCCTGATGCCTGCAGAGGTCAAAGAAGGCACTGGATTCCCTGAGTCCTCCAAAAGAGCTGTCAGTGTTCTTAACTACCAAACCTGTCAGCAGACCCAGGCTCTCTTACAGCTTTCTGATGGAGGAGGTTTCAGAGTAGGAGTCTGCTGCCAGGCTCTCTGATTCTCCAGAAAAAGACAGAAAAGTTGTGGGGAGTAGAATATGTGTATGCCAATACCCCCTCTGATGTATACTCATTTCTTAAGTGAGGCATCATATACCTGGAACTCTGACAGGTAGAGGTAAACAGGCATTGTTTTGTGGTCTGATTAGCAGTCTGGTCTGGAGTCTAATGTTACATTCCTAGACTTTTTGTTCCTGTCAAAAACAAATAAAAGAATAATTTCACAGGGAAAAAAGAGATATAGGAGACCCAAAGAACAATAGGTATGGGATGAATCTAGCTTCTTCTCAGCTAGAATTGGACAGCCACAGCTTAAGGTTGGGCCTTATGATCAGCATTGAGCAATGTCTAGTACCTGCTGGTCTCTGGGTCAGAAGCTTGTGTTTACACTAGTGCATCAAGAGGTTTAGCTTTGTTTTTTGTTGTTGGTCATTCTGTAAGATGAAATCACAAAGCAGCTTTAATTTGCACTTTCCTGATAGCAAAGAATGTAACATTTTTTAAAATGTTTATCAGCCTTTTGCATTTACTCTTTGAGAACTGTTTAATTCCTTCTCTTAATTTCCCAAATTTTAATTATTGGCTTTCTTCATATCTAGGGGTTATTTTTCATTCTTCATATATTCTAGATCCTAACACTCTGTCAGATGTGCAACTGGTAACCATTTTTCTATTCTGTAAGTTGCCATTTTACTTGAATTAAGGTATCCTTTGCTGAACATTGGTTTTGGGGGAGAAAGGGGATAAAAACCTTTTAGCAGTTGTTTCCCTAATTTTCTTCTTGGCATGTTTGTATATAGAAGGCAACTTTCATGTGTTAATTTTGTATCCTGCTATTTTGATAAAAGTGCTTAATGTCTGTAGTTTTCTTATGGTGTCTTTAAGATCTCTTATACATAGAATCATTGTATATTCAAATAAGGAGACTTAAGTTTCTTCCTTTCCTGCTTGTATCCCTTTTATCTCATCCACTTGTCTTACGTTCTAGCCAAGACTTAAAGCATAATATTGAACAGGAATGGAGAGAGTGGCCATCCTTGTCTCATCTCTTATGCTAATAGAAATACTTTGTTTTTCCCCCATTTAGGATAATGTTGCCTTTGGCCTTGTTGTATATTGCTTTTATTATATTGAGATATGCCCCCCATATCCCTAGATTCTTCATAACTTGTATCCTGAAGGGAAGACACTGGGTATTGTTGAAAACCTTTGCTACATCTATGAGATGGTTATGTGGCCTGTGTCCTTTAGTGCATTTATGTGGTAGATTATTGTTTTAGGTATGTTGAAGCTCCCTGTATCTCTGGGATGAAGCCCAGTGATCATGATGGATGAGCTTTGTGATGTGCTCTTAGATTTGCTTAGCAAGTGTCTTATTGTGATTTATTATGTCTATGTTCATCAGGGAGGTTGGACTATAATCAATTTCTTTCTGTATTTTTTTTTCTTTCTTCCTTTTGGTCTGGTTTTGGTCTCAGGATAATATTGGTCTTATACAGAGAATTTAGAAATGTTCCTTCCTTTTCAATTTCGGAGAACAGTCTGAGAAGCATAGGTGGCACATTTCTCCAAGGAATCCACCTGGGTTCGCTTTAGCGGGGGACTTTAGTTACTGTTACTGTCTCATCGTTTGTATGTATTTACATTATGCACTTCACCTTCAGTGAACTTTGGTAGGTAATATAAATCTAGAAATTCACTTATTTCTTTTAGATTTTCCAGTTTGGTAGGGTACACATTTTTTTTAAGTATGTCCTCAGGATTTTGAGTTTCCTCACTATCTACAGTGATATCTCCCTTATATCTTTAATTGTATTGATGTAGATCTTCTCATCCCCCCCACACACAATTGGCTAATAGTTTGTCAGTCTTGTTAATTTTTTCAAAGAACCCACTGTTTCCTTGATTCTTTGTATTATGTTTGTTTCTATTTCATTGCTTTTAGCCGTGAGCGAGATTATCTCTTCCCATGCTCTTTAGAGTTGTTTGTTCTTTTTTTCCCCAAGGATCAGATGCATTGTTGTTAATTTGACATCTCTCAAAATTTTGATGTAGGTACTTAATGCTGTAATGAACTACTTCTACTTAGGACTGTCTTGTGTCCCATAGGTTTGGACAGGTTGTATTTTCATTGTCATTCAATTCTAGGAATTATTAATCTCCTTATTGATCTCTTTCTTGACCCAACTGGCATTCAGGTGTGTTGTTGAGTCTACAAAGGTATGTGTGCTTTTTGGTTTGTATTGGTAGCCAGGTTTATTCAACTGTGGTCAGACAGAATGGAAGATGCTATTTCAATTTTTCTAAATTTGTTGAAACTCGCTGTTTCCTAATGTCATAGATTATGGAGAAATTTCCATGAGATGCTGAGAAATGTGATTTCTTTAGTATTTGCATGGAATATTCTGTCAATGTGTACTAGGTACATTTAATTTGTGTCATTCAACTCCAGTTAACTCCAGATGGTTCTGATACTTGATCATTCCATCTCTACTTCCCAAGTGCTGGAATCATTCATCTGTACCATCATGCTCAGCTTTTCCAGTCACAGGTATTTTTGCTATAGCAACAGGACATGACAAATGGTGAGCATCAAAAGCCTTCCTCACCCTTTCTTCATATCAACTCCTAAATGACCAACTATATTGTCACCACAGCAGCGTCGGTGAAGTCTGAAGGGATCATGGCTGCTGCAAAACTGCACATAGGTCATGGAAAGTTTTTCCTGCCATCCCTTAGAATTCTAAGGTGACTCTTTCACAAAGACCCTGAACCCTTTAATTTCTTCCCTTCCTTGTAAACGCTTCTGTTGTATTTCCAGCAAGTTCCCAGCATGGCTGCAGAAACTTGTCACCTTTTATTTGTAATACTTGTCACTAAATTGAAAGTCACCTGGTGTTTATGTGAATTATCAGAGGCCAGTTTTGACATCATAGGCAGTTAGAGGTGTGGCCACAGTGTCTGGGGTCAATGCTAATAGCAGCTGACATCCTCCAATTCTCCAGCTGACAGCAGAGGGAAATTTACAGAGTCAGCACCACTGATGGAACAAAACTTAATTATCTAGGGCTGGCGAGAATGCCTAGCAAGAAACTCTGAACTCTTCCAACTCTTACATGGCTGGTAAGAAAGAAAAGGACAGAGAGGTCATATTCTGGCCAGGCCTGACCAGTTTCACAAGTTCATCAATTTCACAAATGTATATACATACTTATATACACACATATAAACCTACATACATATGTATGTACATACATATGGACAGGCAGGCATATATACATTTGGTGGATGCAACAGAGTCCCAACAGTGTCCCCTCTCAACCTTTTTATATCTTTAGAAAAAAGTTCTTTATAAAATTATCTTGTAGATAAAATTTTATACAAAAGGGAAGAGAAGGATAATGTCAAGAGTAAGTTCAAAGCAGTGTTTTCATTCTATAAGCTCATTGTAAGTTCAAAGAAAAGTTTCACATGGCCTTGCTTTATCATAGTCTGGATCTGTAGCTTTATCCTTAGCCTGATATAGAGTGAATATTTTTCCTTGAATGCAAATTTGTTCCAAGCCTATTTTTCTTCTTCTTAGTGCAATTTTTAAAGGTTCATTGTATTCCTTACTTACTATTCTATGAGGAGAGTGCACATTCTATTCTTGATTCTAACTTTATTACATCTTTCTGGAAAAACAACTAAAACCAACTCCTTAAACTTTCTTCCTAAAATTATTTGAATTCTATAGTCATTAATTCATATAAACATCATCAATTCATGAAAGTTCATCTTCATGTTCATCTTCAGGGAATTTGCCCAAAAGAGTGGGCTAATGCCCAGGAGTCGCTGGGCTATGTAATAGTGCCAGGAGAGGCGTATGAGCAGTGAGAAGCAATCCTGAGACAAAGTTTCTGGGGCTGTGCCTCTCCAGAGCACACCCATTGCAGCCATGCAAAACAGTGGGTCATCTCCAGAAAACTCACTTCCTTGTCATAGCCTTTCCTAGATGGCCTCTGTCAGTGACTGACCTCATGTTTCCAACCCCTGGGAGAAAGTGGTCAGTAAGTATCTAAAGAGGTTTATGTGTTATACCATATGACAGGGGAAACAGAGATATAGGGAAAGATGCTTTCCCTACTGCCCATTACTTGAAGCTTCAACTCACTGGCTTTTTTTTTTTTCACTTAATTTAAGTGGGAAGAGATCCTCATGCTACCAAGGAAAAAGACAGAAGCACACATGGCTGCCTGTGTTGGCATCCATAGGGTCATGCAGCAGGGATGACCTCTGTAGCCAGCAATACCATAAACCCACAGGAGTTGTAAATCCAGACACTAGAAAAAGCCCTCCTGTGAGGCAGACAGACACTCAGTTCTGAAGGTGGGGTGAAATAAAGCCCTTTATTTCATAACTCTCATTGCACTTATGGATAAGGTCACTTAGGTCACAGGCAAACAGTGGAGAGTGGGTAAAAGACTGACAGGAACACCCTTTCCTCAGGGAGAGGAGAACCGGCCACAGAACAGAATCCCATTGGTCTTAACATGCTGAATGAAGAAAAGGAAGGGGCGGTCGGCACAGAAGCGGGGGGTGAACCTCATGCACCTCATCATCATAATGCCAGCTGTGGCAGCTGCAGCCTCTGTGCCCTCCTCATTCACCTCCACAAAGGCCTTATGTACCACCTTAGACAGAAACAGGCCTTGCTTGGAGGATATTCCAGAAAAGTCTGCCCTGCCCCCGTCAAAGGCATCGGTCATGCCCAACTTGCTGAGGACATCCTTCATGTCATAGTTCTCCTCCAGTTTAAACTTTGGGAGAAATACTTCTACCTCTTCTTCGTCCATCTTGTCCAGATTTGTCCACTCTATAAATTTCTCATAAGTTATTTCCTTTTCCACCTAGAAAAGAGAACATTTGAACAATGCTGTCCTCACAGCAGGTAACTGAAACAACAGAAAGGCTCTACAGTGGCCAGGGAAGTGTGGCTGGAACTTATTTTGGTAGCTGGGAGGGGACAGTGAGCAGCTCGTCGGTGAGTATTTACTAAGCATGCTCTAGCTCCTGGATTCCACCACAGCCACACAAGAATGAAAGATGAAAAACACGATCCTGGGAGCCTAGGAGAGCTTCCCCAGCAGAAACCCAAACACTACTCTTTTTCTAGCACAGCTCCACCAAGGCCCCATGATCCTTACTGTTTTCAGCTCAACGTGTTCATCTGGAAGCATGATGATCATGTTCAGCTCATTGCCAACATAGGGAAGCAACAGAATCTTGGTGAATATCTCTCCAATATAGGTCATCTTAAAGGTAGACTTCTTAAACATCATTTGCACAGGTTTCTTCTCATCCTGTAAGGGATAAATATTAAGTTGAAAGGAGACACAAGTGACACATTGGGCAAATTCAACCAAAGGAGCCAGGCATTGAAACTAGGAATACTTGCTTTGTTAAATTGTATTTTATATGTATGAGTGTTTGCCCTGCATGTATACACATGTACCACATGACTATGGGCATTTAGTGTCTGTATATTTCAGAAGAGGGTATCAAATCCCCTGGAACTGGAGGTATGAATGGTTATGAGACACAAGTGGATATTAGATTTTGACTCTAGTCCTCTTCAAGAACAATATGTGTTTTTAACTGCTGAGCTATCTCTCCAGCCTCGAGAGCATATTCTTGAATTGACTTCTAGAATACTTCATCAGCCTCTCAAACACAGGTTGAGACCTTGCATGACTCCTAAGGCCTGTTTCTCAAGGCTTTGTCCTCAATATGCAAGTTTGGGAGGAGATAGAATCTTGTTTGTTTGAGATAGAGTCTCATTCTGTAGCCCTAGTTGATCTAGAACTTGCTACAGAGACCAGGCTGGCCTTTAACACAGAGAATTACCTTTCTCTGCCTCCTGAATGTTAGTATTAAAGGTGTTTGCCATCATGCATGACATAGTGGTGGAAACTCTAATAGGTGAGGCTTAGAGGGAGTAATTTATATCATTGAGATGTGCACTTGAACAGAACTGAGGAATCTGGGGATTTTTTTGTTATGTTTTGTTTTTTGTTTTTTGTTTTTCAAGACAAGGTTTCTCTGTGTAGCCCGGGCTGTCCTGGAACTCACTCTGTAGACCAGGCTGGCCTCGAACTCAGAAATCCGCCTGCCTCTGCCTCCCAAGTGCTGGGATTAAAGGCGTGCGCCACCACTGTCCAGCTGGGGATTTTTCCTGTCTTTCACTTCCTGGTCTTGGAACGAATCATTTTGCTTCAATGCCTGCTACCAGTATTCCATTCCATTTGAGGGTTTGGGACCCTCAAAACAGGGCCCAAACCAATGGATCCATCTCAAGATAGATTTAAACCCCTAATACTGAGTCAAATAAACCCTTTCTATTATTAAATTGGGTATCTTCACATTTTAATGACAGAAAGCTGACTGACCCAGGTGTCAACCACCTGTGATGTCCTGAGCCAACAATGCTGTTCTATTGGGAGTCTCATTTATTCTCATGACTTTGAACATAATCCTCATATTCACTGTTCTAGCCTGAACTTCTCCTTGAACAATGGAATAATTATTTTATAGACTATTGACTCCTGCACTTTGATATTCTTTTTTATAGCTGCTCTACCTACAAGTCTTACTCATCCTGGTTGACAGCGATGTCCTACTTCCAGTTGCCAAACCCATTTCATGTCCTTGACTCCAGCCTTTCCAAATCAACGATTTGACTCATTACAAAACTATACTGTCTGTATCTCTGAATTTATAACCCAAACCTGACTTTGCTTTTTAAAGAGACTGCCATCAGCACAGCCCTGGGATACTATAATGACATCCTTGTCACTAACCTCAGCACAGCAGCCATAGGTTGTAGCACAAGGCAACTCAGGCCACCCTGCTGTGGTGGGATATCGTTTTGTGGGACCACTCTACCAGGAACAAAAGCTAGTTAAAATCCTTAAAGCATCCCGGAATAGCAAAGAGCCCACCCTGCTTCTTATTCTACTTCACTCTCTTCTTTGGTAGTAGGGTTGTCTGTAGTGTTGTGGCTAACCAGATTATGTTTCTTTCTCCCAACACATTGGACTGGAGAACTGGAACATGCTTTTTATATTCTGGTGTCTGCTCTTCTGCAGTCTTACAGTGAAGGTTTCTTCAGCACCTCTCACTGCCTCAACACTCAAGCACAGCATCCTGCCAATGCCTCTGTGTGTCTCTTGAGCCAACTACTGTGTTCTTACCTATGCTTATCTCAAATTTCTCTCCCCAGAAAAACAGAGCTTCATGAGGGCTGGCATATTAGTGCATGGTACACAGTAGGATCTCAAGTGATCTGAAGTAGTGATCTGAAGGCTATAGTGGCAAACAAATGGGCAGAAATTCTGCTCATACTTTAAATAAAAATCCACAGAACAGAAAATCTTGTGCCTTTGGAGGCAAGGTCACATATATGGATTACCATCAGCAGCTGCTGTAGCCAGAGAGCAGTCTGTGTCCTAGTGTAGAGACAAGGAAACAAGACAATGCCTCTTAACTCTGCACCTAACAGGAGCCACAGTAAGTAGTTCCACTTATGTAATATATGTATATATTGTCATCACTTATATGTACTATATGGGAAAGATCTCAAAAAAAAAAGCCTTCTTGCTGTCAGTTCTATGTCCTTCCCTGTAGACTACATTGGCGTCAAAGCCCTGCTGTGCACATGAGGACAAAGATCTCATGCTAAAGGTGGCATAGCAGGAAAGGAGAACCAGTTCCCAAAAACATCCCTCCATGCAGGCAGCCCCAGGCTTCACCCATTTCTTGCCCTCCTGTGTAGGACAATGGACCCTGACAGGAAACTTGGTAAGTTTGAGCAGGTTCAGAGTCCCTGGCACCCAGGCACCCACCTGAGACAGTAGGCAGCTCCCTGCTCCCTACCAGATTCCTGGCCTAGAACACATATCACAACTTGACCTATAATCATGTAGATCAGAACAGAGTTCTCCAAGTTAATTAGGTATCTAGAGGCCCTGAAGGTTTAGCTAATAATTCCCTTCCCGGATATTCTCTCCTAAAAGAGGTATTTAATCTCTGGTCTACCCTGAAAAGGTGCTATGCACCCATTTTCTACGATGTCAATAAACGATATGGATAAACATGGACTGTCTCTTTCATCCATAACCATCATCGAGAGCATGGAGAAAGCCTTCATCTACAGATACACAGCCTAAGTCTCCCACAGAAGGCTCCTCTGTGCTCCCAGATAACTACTGCTAAGCTAAGGACAATCACTGATGAGCTAAGCCAGAGTTCCCCATTCCACCCTCACCACCACCCCAGGCCCCAGGTTTGTCCTCAGCCTGTAGGTCAACTCTGTTCCCAACCCAGTGTCTGGATGTTCAGGAGTATGGGAACCCCAAGTCTTGGGCTCCTCCTCGAAGGCCTGAGGCACTCAAGCACTCATTACACAGCTGTCTGCCCTCAGCTGCTTTTCCAACAGGGTGAGAAAGGTTATTTTCCCTCTGTATTGTTCTGTGGCAACCAACTCGAGGTGTGATCCTCTTGAAAGAGGCAGAAGACACAAGACAGCACTTCCAGGAAGACACACTGAAAAGAACAGACTGTGCACAAGGAATGAACTGCATTCTGGGCCACAAGGAGCCTCATAAACCACATCTGGAGTCTAGATTTTCTTATTTTGAAACTTCTATGAAGACCATTTCAAGTACACTGCAGAGCTCTGCCATCAGAATTGGCCTCAACATCTGCCAGGGACAGCAGGGCCAGGCCTCATACCATGTAGCCTGCAGCCATCATTGCCAACATGTGAAAGAAAAAAGGGAAGAGAAAGGCTCTAAGGCTGAGAGAGGGTCTGCCTGCAGAGCTGGCAGAGACATGAGAGGCACAGGCTACATGAGGAAACTCCTTATGTTCTAGAAGCCAATTGAACAGGGGACCTTGCCCAGGAATCTCCTTAGTTACCGCACTGTAGTTACCTTGCTGACTTTGAATGGCATCTCCCTGGTGTCCTCTTTGTTAAACTGTTCCTCCCAGTTTCCTTTGAAGTAGATGGCATTCACAAGGATTAGCAATGTGTCAGAATTCACTGTACCTGGAGACAGGAGCTCTTTGATTTTATCTGAAAGAATGAATTTTTAGAAGAAACCTAATTAAAGACTTGTGGTGGTATGGATGAGAATGGGCCCACAGGCTCATATATTTACATGCTCAGCCTCAGTTGAACTGTCTGGAAAGGATTGGTAGGTATAGCCTTGAAGGAGAAGATATGCTGTTGGGAGTGGTCTTTAAGATTTCAAAACCCCACAGCACCCCCACCCTCACCCTCACTTCTCTCTTCCTGCTGCTTGTGGATTAGCATTGGCTGCTGCTCCAGCACAATGTCTGTCTGCTTCCTGCTATGACGATCATGAAATAACCCTTCTAAAACTCTAAGCAAGCTCCCAGTTTGATTCTTTCTTTTATAACACTTGCCTTGGTCATGGTTTCTCTTCACAGCAACAGGACAGTAACCAAGACAAGACACAATTAGCTAACAGAGGTGGCTGATACATGTCAAGGGCTGATAGGCAAATGGTGCCACCTGATGCTCTGGTCAGAAGCTTGCCTGAGAGATGTCACTTCTCTCAATATAAAGAAACATTTAGCTTTAAAGCAACAACCCTGACATCAACAAGAAGATGACAACTTCTTGTTTTTTAAAATCTATTTTTAATTAAGTTTATGCATGTATATTTGTGAAAGAGTGTGTCTCTTTCACATGCATTTGATATCCACAGAGGCTCCAGATGTTAGATCCCCTGCAACTGAAATTATAGGAACTTAGTGTGGGTGTTGGGAAACAACTCAGCTCCTCTACAAGAGCAATCTGTGTTCTTAAGTGCTGAAGTATCTCTCCAGCACCAAAGTCACACTCTTTAAAAGTGTTACAGAGAAGAAAAAATAAGCTGATAAGAAAACTTCATTGTTCAAATAAACACGTAAAATGTATGAGTTGCAATTTAAATACTCTTGAGCTGGAAAGAGACAATTGTTGACTACAACTTTAAGAAAGAAACTTTAGGCTGTTTTCAAATATTCTGGTTATAAATTCCATTTTAAAATATTTGAAGCAATAGATATATTTATCTTGATCTGAACATTTGAGAACACACATTGAAAATCACAGAGGATCCTGTCAATATACATATTTACATATCAGCTTAAAAATAAATCGAAAGTAGAATAGCAGTTATAAAAGTTTAAAGCAGTCTATAGGCTCAGGTTAATGGGGGCTCAGCCCAGCATCTGCAACCACGCTACAATAGCCACAGAATGAGAGCACTTCACCCAGAGAAGGAAGAGCTGCAGGGAAAAAGCATTTTGTACTTTTTGTAACAACCTTTGAGAAGAAAGAAAAAAATAAGAAAGGGAGCGGAGAGGGAAGAAGGAAGGGAAGCATGTACCAAGGATGGGAGAAATAGCAGGTTGGTCGTGTATCAAATATTGGGAGACATCACAGACACACTGTTAAAAGCTGGGGAAAACCAGATGTACTGAGACACCATTTAATACCAGAGCCTGAGCCTGAGCCAGAGCCAGAGTCAGGGCCAGGGCCAGGCCCATCTCTGTGAGTTTGAAGCCAACCCAGTCTACATAACAAAGTCAGCCAGCAACGCATAGTGAGCCTCTGTCTTTAAAAAGTAAAAATAAAAAAGAACAGGAAAGAGCTAGGCAAAGTGTCAGACACTGACAGTATTTTAGAGACAGCTTTGTAAGGTTTGTATCTACTTAGAAAAAAGCCCTGCAGACTGCAAATTGTGATCATACTGCCTGATGTGTAGTTACTGAGAAAACTGCCAACAGTCAAAGCATTCTGAACACACAATAACCAGAGCTTCATTCAAATTCAAATGCATGAACTCAAGGTGCTTATGGCAGCGGCTCCATCTTGCTTCACATCACTTCATTGTGACCTTGGTCCTGACATACATGAACATTTTGTACTGCATGCCATTGTGCTGTGCTATGAAATACAATGCCAACAAACACTGAGTCAAACATATCAGCTCATATTCAAAACCATCATGTTAGAAATGCAACATCTATGACTACATACAAACTTTTCTGCTTTTATAGATAGAATGGCTTCATTGTGAAAAACAGACTTTCCGTACTCTCATACTCTTACCCTCAGAAAGTAAGCATCAAGTTATTACATCTTTGGGAAGATGAAGAGATGACTGAATGCTTAAAAATTCATATAGCACCCACATTAGGTGCCTCACAACTGCCTATAACTTCAGTTCCAGGGATCTGTCACTCTCTAGACTCTCAAGCACCTGAAGGCACAGGATGCACATAAATTTATACAGGCATAAACATATATGAGACTTTTTTAAAGCTTTAAATTTATTATCTCTTTGGGTTATATAGTGTTTAGATAAACTCTTCTCCCTCATTAATATGAAAGTTTGGCTCCATCTTTAATTATAACAAATATAGGTATACCAATGAGTTGTTTTAAAACACATTTCTATAGACTATAATGTATACCTGTATTGTATATTTTACAAGGTCATATAAAAATTTCTCAGACAAAAAGGAGTTGTGATGGGTAAAGCTTAAGAGTTCTGATTTATGGGCTGGACATAGTAGCACACACCTTTAATGCCAGCACTCAGGAGGCAGAGACGGATCCCTGAGTTCCTGGACAGCCTGGTCTACAGAGTGAGTTCCAGGACAGTAAAAGCCACACATTGGACTGTCTCAAAAAAAAAAAAAAAAAAAGCAAAAAACAAAAACAAAAGTAAAAACAAAAAAACCAGAGAGAGAGAGGAAAGGTCTGTCAAGTAAAGATGTTTGCTACCAAACCTGAAGAACTAAATAGAATCCCTAAGACCCAGTGGTAGAAAGAGGAAACCAACTCTTGTGTGTTGTCCTGACTGCAGGTGTGCACAGACACATACAAATTCACAACAAACAAACAAACAAATAATTGTACCATTTTTCAAAAAGTAAGCTGACTACTTAACACGGATGGGGTGTGGCTCAGCGGCAGAGGAGATCCTACTCAGCCTGTTCAGGGCCCTGCAGTCAAATCTCAGCACTAAACACAATCAAAACAGAGTAACTCTGTGTTCACCTTCTGTCTTTTTGGCTACCCAGGTGTTGATGTGCTGTCGGGACTGCTCTGTAGCACCCTGAAAGTCCAGCTCTTCCATCTCTGCTTCGTAGAACTTGCGGCAGGAATCCTTGAAAGACTGAGACAGAGTAACATGGTTATACAGCCATGAAAGTGATTAGGACCAACAGCCTCCTTCCCAATGCCCAAAGGCAGATGATCAAAATTAAATGAAGTTAATCATTAAAATTTAATGAAAACAAATATGTGGAAAGAATACAAAATTCTCCCTTACTGTTCCAAGCTTTCCAGCATTACCCTTAGTTTATGAATGATGTAAGGTGCTGGATCATATGAGGATCACTAAAAAGCACGATGAACAGCTAGATCCTTGAGGTAGTAGCTGATGCTCACGGAGGTCACTGGGAGCAGCCTCAGATGCAGCATCACACTGCTGTCACTCTAAGAGGCCACCACACTGGCAGAGTGAGGGTTAACCCCACAAGAGCTATGACACCTCTGTGCTGTGCATGGCCTGGACCTTCTACCACAAATTTCTATGCCAAAAGAATACAAATTTGCATCATTCAAAGTAGTGTCCCCTACAGTCACAGAACACCAGGGACATGGCCATAGAAGCTATGAAAATGAGTATATCATTTTAATTTATTTTACTTCATGATATGGAATTTGAAGAGCTATGTGTTCATGGTCACTGTGGCAGGCAGCTCAGTTACAGGGGTGAGCAATTCTCAAAAACACAGCCGATGCTGGGGTCGAGTGGTGCAGTGCAATAGTGAAGGATTTGCTTGCCGTGCACAGGACCTTACAGGGCACTGACCACCAGCACCATGAGACACATAAAAGTCAAGCCACTTGTTGGTATGGTCTATGAAGTGACAATGACATTGATGACCACCCACATTCTGCCATGTTACAACAGAAAACGTAGTACAATGGAAGTGGGCTAAAATCATGTTAACACTGTGTATTTGGGAATAGTTTTGTGCACTGTGCATTCAGATACTTATTTCTGTGCCCAGAGGTCTTAGCACATTTGCATTGTCATGATCATTGGAGCATCTACTGTCTCAGTGATGTGTAAAAATTCTTTTCCATCACCTCTGATTGGTTACTAAAATCCTGATCAAGAAAAAAGCTGGGCCAGAGAAGAGGTAGGACTAGCAATCCCAGTGAGAGAGCCTCTAGTAGGGAAAGAAAATGGATCATTAGAAAATTTGGCCATGAGCATTCGCCATGAGCAGGTTGCCAAGGGAATCATCCTAAGGACACTGATGCAGAAGATGACCCCAGGGCAAGGTTAAGATGGCCAGTAATGGGCATGTGGCTAGGAAGAAGGCATCCATAGAGGGCTGAAATAGATAAGTATCTGCCCAGCTATAGTGCTTAATGCTTGTTAATAAATATAAGGGTCTCTGTGTTGATACTTGGGAACTAGAATATTATAGAAAAGTCCAAAAATTACTTTTACAAGTGTATATAGAATTGTTTCTCAATATTTCTATGAAACAGCTCATCTCATAGCTACATATTTAATTCTTATTTGAGAGAATTGTTTGAATTTTCATTTATACATTTATGTGTGTGGCAAATGTACATTTCATGTAGGTATGTACATATGTGTGCATGAGTGTAAGTGAAGTCTATGTGAAGGTTAGAAAATTAATATCTTTCTCAAGAGCTCTGTACCTTATTTTTTGAGACAGCCTCTCACTGAATCTGGAGCTCATCAATTAAACTGGGTAGGCTGCCCAGTGCACTCCAGGAATCCACCTGTCTGTTTAATTTCTAGTACTAAACTTATAGTCATGAAACTTCATGCTGGGTTTTTATGTGGGTGCTGGGGATCTAAACTTGGGTCTTTTTTGCTTTTATACCAGGAATTTTATCTAGCAAATGAGCACCCTCTCTAGTCCCTGAAGAAAACAGAATTATGATACAGGATTTCAACACCACAGTCTGAGTATCAGCTGAATGACCGTAGCACAGCTTGTCTCCCTACACCCCCTCAAAGCCTGTAAATGAGGAGACAGCGATGGCTATACCTCAGAGGGTCAATGTGAGATATGGACAGTCTACTTTGTTTTATTTATTATTACATATTTTATGTGAATGAATATTATGTCTACATGTATATCAGTGTACCATGTGTGTACCTATTTGTAAAAGTCAGACAATAGCTTCAAATTCCTCAGAACTATAGTTACAGATGGCTGTGAGCTGTCATGTGGGTGCTAGAAATGGAACCCAAGCTGAAAAGAAGGAAGAAAAGCCAAGGGCTCTTGACTGATAAGCCACTTATCAGCCCTTTAATAGATGCTTTTCATGACCAATGCTTTACATGCCATCCCTGACTTCTCAGTACAGTGCAAAGGTGAAATTCATAGAACAATTCATCTAATCCTTACACAGTCTGTGCTCTGCCAATTTCAATGTTCTACATCTGAAACAGCTTTAAAATTTCTCAGCCTAAGAACAGTCTAAGGGGCTAGGCCATGGCTCAGTTTGTACCGTCTTTATCTATTCTGCATAAAATCCTGGATTCAAATCTGCCATCACATAAACCCAGAGGTGGAGACATGTTGTAATCCTAGCACTGAGGAGGTAGAGGCAAGAGGGTTAGGTTTTGAGAGTAATCCATAGCTATATTTGAGGATACTCTAAGGTACAAGAAATGTCTCCCAAAAAAGCCAAACAACAACAACAAAAAAAAAGAGAGAGAGAGAAAAAAGAGAATACAGGCTGCTCACATACTGACACCTTGTTATACCTGCGAATGATAGTACAATTTTGAAATACACTGTGCACTGTCAGTTTACGCTACTATTTTTTAAGCAACAACTAATGAATCTTAAGGAAGAATCTAATTGCATATGGCAATTAGGATTTGAATTTTTGCCTCCCCCACCAAAAATGATGTTCAAGACAGGGTCTCTCTGTGTATCCCTGGCTGTCCTAAACCCACTCAGTAGACCAGGCTAACCTCAAATTCAGAGATCTGCCTGCCTCTGGGATCAAAGGCATGTACCACCTCACCAGGCTTAGGATTTGGAATCTTTAATGATGAAATTAATAAGAAGTAACTCAAAATATTACTAAACCTAGTTGAGATCCATATGAAAATAACAAATTATCAATGCTTTTTCTTTAAAAAGTCACCAAAAAAAGAATAAGTAAGCTAATCATTTGTTTGCTGAAAGTTTTGTTTTTCTTCATATAAAAAAAGCCTAAAAATGATAATAACATAAAAAGCCACTACAGATGCAAAGAAAGTAAAATAATATGCAATAAACAAACAAGCTAGTGCACAGAACTTACTGCTATCTGACCTGACACTCCGCTACACTCCTTTAAATCACATCATTTTAAAGCAGTGGAGATCTGAAATAGGTTAGAAAATCACAATAAAAAAGGAAGACTGATCTCAAACATCACAAAAAGGAAATCCCTTATAAAGTAATAAAAATGAAGATAGCCCAACACAAAAATGTCCACCGAGTATATAAATGAACAATCCACATATTAGTTGAATTTCCTTTACCAAAAATGCTCAGGGTCAGATGTAATTTAGATTCAGGAGTCTTCAGGTTTCAGATTTTTTTTTTTTATTTATTTAGGGGCATTCAATTTGAGCATGTTCCAAAAAAACAAAACAAAACAAAACAAAAAAACAGTTTCCAATCTCAAAATGTAAAAGAATAAGATTGTGCATAGCTCAAGAGAAGGATAGAAATAAAAGCTCTGCTGATATCGCTGGCAGTTTGGGAGTGCAATGGAACAATACATATTATAATCTTAAGGCTGTACTTTGTTTTTACAAATGCATCTGACAGCAATGCATGCACATGGGCATGAATCCACATTCGATAACTCTGTTTGTAACAGCCCACCCTGGGGACAAGCTAAATGCTACCCACATGTCAGTGGTTTACTACATCACCATACGTTTCTACTCTGGCTTTTCCTATGATGGATAATAAGTTCTGAACAGTGCTTAGGGTGTGGGTCAGTGGTAGAGCTGCAGCTTAAATGTGTGAAACAATAGGTTCCATCTCTCACACTAACAATAGCAATATTAATAGTGAGGCAGAGTCTTGTGATATTCAAGAAATAAAAGAAACTCATTGAAAAATAATACACATAATGGCACTACACACGGAAAGTTCTCACCGACTAAATTTCTGTATGCGCAGGGACACAAACATCAGCCTCACTTGTGGAAGCTCTTATTTATGGAAGGAACAGAATTAGAGAATAGCTCTTATTTAAACATTCTGTACAATAGGAATATACTCACACAGAGTTTCAAAGCGTCCAAACAAATACACAACTGTATTAGTGGGCAAGGGAGTAAGGTGAATCCTCAGCCTACTGTCTCTGAGTACTGCATGACACTTACTGCTAAAAGATCACAAGTCTTTTCCCCGAAGAGCCTGTTGGCTGTTCTGAGCAAGTACTGTGTGCCAGTCTTGTTCACTTCGGTGAGAAGGGACTGGAAGCCCTGGTGGACGTCTCCACCTCCATTGCCGCTGCATTTATCCAAAGACAGTGTCTGAAATCAGAACAGATTAAAAACACATCTTCATCAGGCCCAGCTATAGGAAATGAGTCAACACTAAACTTATCCTCAGAATCCTGCTACCACTCAAAACCCACCTAGTTACAAATGAAAGTACCTTGAAGGTTCCCTGTCTAGGGTCCTCCTCTGTACCTTGTCAGCCCTGGTCTGGACAGAAATGGCCTTTCACAAACTCAGCTCTTCATGGTCACTAATGATGCTCTGGCTTCAAGCATGGCTACCAACCAGACCCACTGTCACTCAAGTGAACCTGGCTTCTGAACAAGGACATACAGTCTCTTCCCTGCTCTTGGTATGGGCTGACTCCAGCACTGTCTGATCACCAGAATTTAGGAGAGTGACCATATTCCAGGCCTGGGCTTTAAAAGGCTTGGCAGCTACCACCTTTGAGAACTTAGAAGGAAATCCAAGCCATCCTGCAGGAGGCCACATGGAAAATACTGGAGTAACTGCTACCACATAAAGCTGCTTGAATAAGAAGCAGGATCCCAGCCAACAGTGAACACCTAGGTGTTGAACCTTAGATATACCTCCTTAGACTTTCCAAGCCTAATGAAAAGCTACGGGAATGACTTCAGCTACTCCCATAGGTAACAGATGAACTGCCTATCAGTGGTTGTAATAGCTTGGATCTAAATGAGAGACAGTTCAAACTGAAGGCAAGCTGGCAGGCCCTAACTCTCTTTTAGCAGGAGGCAATTTGAGGAAAGAGCAAACACAATTGTGTCTTATAAAAATGAAAAGGTACTGTGAAGAGTTAACCCAGAATCCAAAGTCCCTGCCCAAGGTTGTCTCCCTGTCTTAGGCTGGGACAGTCTGCCTCTGCAGTTCATGCACCTCTGTAGCTAAAGCATTATATCCAAGAAGAGCCCTAATGGATCCGACCCTGGTCTCTCAGCCAAGGTTGAGCCCATTTGGGAAGAAACTTCAAGGTCCTAGGACAAGATCAGTCTAGTGTTCCTTACCTGTAAACAGTTGAGATTCATTAGGGCTAGAGAGAAGACAGAAGGGACCACAGAGATCCTGATGCCACCCTTTTGGTGTTTTTACTCAAGCTAACCGTCATATACACACAGTAAGCACCAGTGAGGCAGTGAAAGGGTCTTAACAAGCACAATACATCATCCCCTTCACCTCTCCAACCACTGTCATTTCTTCCCAGTTGTTCCTCAAGATGAAATTTTTTTTCCTTTGAGATTGAGAATGTATAAAACCAGCTCAATTGACAATCTGTGGTATATATCTGCTGTGAAATGGGGCATTTACCTGAACTATCTGGCTTGCAGTCGTTCCTTTTGCCCCCATGAAGACCATGGCCAGGGCTGAGGAGATGCTCATGGGTGACAAAAATACATTTTTTGAGCTGTCTTCACCCAGTATTTTCAAAAGGTTTAAGGCAAAGGTTCCATTTGCTTCCCGTAGAGGATCCATGATGGTGAGGCTGGAATGAGGGATTAAAATCACATAAATACAGGCTGAAGTATAAGATACATCTTCACTCTCACTCACACTGAGATGTTTTGGCTCAGTGAACAAAAGGAGGAAAAAACAGCCTGGTTAGTCAAGGTCACATGCAGGAAGTGATACAGTCCTGCTGGGCTGACTCAGCCTTGTCTTTCTTATGTGCAGAAATCAATACATGAGGAACCAGAAGGAACTGGCTCAGAGGACAATAGGCACCTGAGGACCCATCAACTTGGAGGGTCACAGAAGCAGCCATGCAGGCTGGAAGCAAGCAACCGTAGGAGGAGGGCCTGTTAGTGCTCACATCATCCACAAGCCGTTGTCAATTCCCTTCCCTGTCGGACAGTACAACAGTTCTAAGACCTCCCTAAGCTGGTTGGGAACTGACAGAGTAAGGGAAGAAGAAGTAATAGGCTACAGGAAAGGGAAGGGTACCCGGCTGTAGTAAGAACAGACAGAATACACAGCACAGCTTTAACATTCCTAGGAGTATAAACACTGCTGAATTCTTTTGCGCCTTTTAAGTCATCTTACTTGCTTCATTTGAATTTACTCATGGAGTCAAGCCTTTTTATAAACATTTCTAATGAACTGGCATTTTTTTTCTTCTTGGTGTTCGTATGGCTATGGAGAACTCCTTTATACTGGTTGCTTTGCCCCGAACTGTTGGACTCAAACTTTCTGACTTTACAGGAACAAGAAGGTGCTATGATGAACTCTTCCAGACCAAGGGCACAAAATGGTTCCCCTCCTGGTTTCTTTCAGGAGGGGATTTGTGAAGTACTAACTGTGTTGCTTGGAGAATAGATTGAATGCTGGTGCTGATTTGGGCTGGGGAGATGGTTCAGTGGATAGAGCGTCTGCCATGCAACTGTAAGGACTTGAGTTTGAAGCCTGAGCACCCATGTAAGGTGAGACAAGGTGGCACATATCTACAACCCTGTGAGATGGGAGGCGGAGACAGAGAGTATCTAGAAGCTCATAAGTCAGGAGCTTAGCAAATTCGGTGGCAAATAGGACACATCTCAACAAAGTGAAGAGAACAGAACCATATCTGAAGTTAGCCTCTGATTTTCATATGCAAGTCAATAAACATGTTTATCTACACCTATATGGCATAAGCATGTGTGCATGCATGTACACACACACACACACACACACACACACACATGAAACAACAACAACAGAAAGTCAAATTTCTATGGTTGAACACACCAGTTGACAAGATGGGATAGATGCTTCCTTTAAGGCCCCCATGGGCCATGCTTTAAATTAGATCATCATTGCAAGTTCTCATGCACTTGACTCTTCTGAGACCCACTGGCACTTGGAGGCATTCATCTCTGCACTCAATCCTACTACTCTTCTCTTTCATTATATGAATGTTTCATACAGCCAGTGTTTACTGGCCATATTAGTGTCAGGACTCCTGGACGCTTGCTCTGTGAATACTAGAGAACATACCTCTTTGCCTGTATCATCTGTTCTGGACCCAAACATATTCTTGATTTATTATTTGTTCCCATGTTTTGATGCGACACTGTCCAATCACATTCTAAGAAAGAATATTGTTATTCTGGTTTCTAACATCTGAAAATATATTCATTTAAAACTAATTTAAAGGTACTTTAGACTGGAAAATGACTAATAGAACTTTAAGTAGCCAGTCATTCCTGAGTATCTGAAGAATATCAGTTGATATCTGAAGATGCCAAAATCCTCAAGTGCTCAACTTACTTACGTAAAATAACTTAATATTTGACCTAACCAGTGTAAATGATGCTGTGTATTTTAAGTGCTATGTTGATGAGTAAATGCCCAGCACAATGTAAATGCTAGATAAATTATCCCTGTTACCATACTGTTTAGAAAACAAGAAAAGGGAGTATATGTACACACACACACACACACACACACACACACACACACACACACACGCAGCCCAGGCTGGCCTCAAGCTCTCATTTCCCTGCCTCAGCCTCCTGGGTCCTGAGATTATAGGTATATAGCAATACATCTCAGTTCTCCTACAATGTTTTCTATCAGATTTTGATTGCTGCTTCATGGTGACTAAAAGTGAAATCCATGTATGGGATCGTATGGGGAGACATGCAGGTATAGGGAGCCAAGAGTGCCCCAAACACACCCTCTCTGTGTGATGACACAAGTCACAGCGGATACAATTACTCAGGACAGCCATAAAACACTAGGACACACCCCATGTATACTGATAACAGCAATCATCCCGTGTGCCCCAGCACCACAGTCCCTGACATATACATTTACCCAAGGCTACTTGATATATCAGATCCCACACCCAACTCCTAAGCCACTCGGGGAAGGAAATGAACAGCCTCTGGAAGAGTCCTATTACAAGCAATTGCCTCTCAGTCAAAAAATAAGTGCCAAACCTCACCCAACTTTCCCTCACACTCAGTGTTCCTGACACCACATGAATGCTAGTTGTGTATACTTCTGATCCTCAAAACAGACCTAAGGGGAGGAAAGGAGGAAGGCCAGGCATGTGTCTCGGTAGGAAAGAATTTGCTCAGCAGAACAAGGCTCTGGGTCCATCAAAAATACGAGGGTGGAAAAAACAAGTTCATATGCCAGTTTCATCTGGCACAGAAACCCTGTCAAAACTTTGGCCATGACCTTCTCCTAACCTGACAGACATCAAATTTGTGAGTTTAGTGTGTGGGGGAGGTGGGGGGGGGGCCGGGAGGGGCGGAGAAGGGTGGTGAGAAACCAAAGATCTGGAATTGTTTCTCACAGTATCTATGTTTGCAGGCCTCCCTGGTGCTGAGGATTTGTCACAACTTCCAGCACAGCCTGGGCCGTGCCCCTGGGAGATTCAGGCACACTGGACAGGATAGTGGGGCCTGAGCACCCAGCGCTCGGCCTCTCTCCGTCCCCCACCTCCCAGATCCCAACGCCCGCCATAGTGCGTCACCAGCCTGCGTCTCCGGGGTCTCCAGGATCTCTCGGGATCGAGGGTCATACGTGGTCACCTGTAGCCCCGGGACCCGGCGCAGCAGCCGGGCCGGCTCCGCGCTGTCCCCATCCCTCGCCAGCCGCCTCCTCCAAGGACGCTGGCAGATCTGGGAGGGCGGCGATGCCACCAGATGGCCGGGACCTCAGGGCGACTCACTCAGCTGCGTCACTGCCCACTGAAGCCGCTGTGCAGCAGAGGGAACCCGAGCCAGGACCACAGGGCTCTCGCCGCGTGCCACACCCGCCCGCGTCCCCAGCTCCCCACGCCTCAGTTATCCCACCGAAGAGCATACCCTAGACTCTCGACTTCCGGACGGGTTGCGAGCAGAGAACAGACTATGAGGTCCCAGCCGCCGCCCGAGGCCTCAAACACCTACGGGGCGGGAGTCGGGCGGAGTCTGAAGGCCAGGGCGCGGCCGTTCCCTGAGTAGGAAAGGGCAGAGAGTAAGGCCAGGTGAGCGCCTGGGGCCCTACAATCTAGCCTATCCTCTGGCTCTTGGCCACCTTGCTGCAGATTGAGCAGCTGGTCTTTCTGGTACTTCCTGGATGCTTTGGCTACCTCCATTTAGCGATGTCAGAAGTGTGTCAGCTCTTAGTGGATGGACATACTTGTGACAAAGCAGAATATAAGTTTAAAGTGAGGAAGGAAGAAAAGACTTTTAACCACCGAGTCTGGAGGTAGAGATCTTACTCAGCAGGCACAGAAAAATAAAGACAGGTGGTCAGTGCCTATGTCCCAAGACTCCACTACTCCAGCCTGGTTAGACGCCGAGGTGCTGATATTTTATATAAATGGGACTGAAAACCCTGTCTGTCTGCTTGCATTCCTTCTAGGAAGCAAGATAACCTAGTAGAGAGAATACTTGTCAATTTTAAATCTTTAAGGACAAGAAAACTATGTAAACATCAGATTCTTTAACTGTCTCCTTCACCTTATCCTAAACCTAAGGTACCTTACAATGACTTGTTCACATTTGAGTTGCATGTTTCCTGTGGAGAATTTATAGAATGTTAGCCAGCGCCCCTGATCGTTCTACATAGAATATATCAGTAGAAAATCAGGAGGCCATCACAGCTGTAAAATTTTACCTTTGAAATAGTGAAACAAATTCTCAGAGTATCTTACTATCCCTCCTCATCATTTGCTTAGGTTTTTTTTTGGGGGGGGGTTGCTTGTTTTCAAGTTTTAGGTTAAATTTAAGAGTACATGTTGTATCTGAATGTGGGTTTATATACACGAACTCAGTCCCTTGTGAGGGTGAGTCCCTTGTGAGATAGCACAGAGTCTCTTGGAGCTGAGGTTACGGATGCTGTGATCTGAGACTTGGACTCTGATCCTCTGTAAGAGCAGTACCTGTTCTCAGTCATTGAGACATCCCTTCAGCCCCTCTACTCCAGTTTTTTATTCCAGTTTATCCTTCTAGGATATCCTTTGCAAAGTATACTGTGTTTATATAGGATAAATTTGGATATACTAAATATATATATATTTGTATATATGTTTGTATATATATTTGTATATTTGTATATATACATATATATATATTTGTAGCACCACTACAAATGCTTTTAGATCCTTTCTTCCCTCTCTTCCTGAGAGACAGGAAGGAGGAAGGGGTGGGTACTGGAAATCTCCACATTCTACCCCCAAAGATTGGACCCAGAGCTTCCGTATGTTAAGCCCACACTCCCTCCCCCATCCAGCTTTCCCTGCTGGCAATTTCTTACAAAGCGTGGCAAATCAGTCTCTAGAGCCTGGTGAAGAATATAAAGGTTACTGTTTGCCATCCCTCACAGATTTTCTGTATTTTCTCCTTTTTTCCCTCTTGTCTTCCTCATTTAATGAAGAACTAACTGTGCTTATCTTTGGAAGAGAGCCTCAGCCCTGTGGACCCTGGATTGTGTGGGAAAGGGACCAAAAAAATGAGCATGAGGCATCAGTGACTCAACAGTCTTCTGGGTTTCTTACTTTTCCATAGGGGT